AAATTGTCGGGCTTGTTGGCGTTCCCTCAGAGCACCATTGAAGCTAACTAGATTATGCTTCAAAATAAACAAAAACAGGAGAGCATGCGCACAAAAAAAACAAAAAAACATTCACACAGACATGTGGGATGCGCTACATCGGTAGTCTAAAATATCAACGACATATGGGCGATCGTACGTATGTAGCGTGATAGCCCCACGTACAGAACCCCTGTGCAAGCTTCAACCAGCATTGTTCCAATGATGGCATGATTACGTTACACACGCTCGCGTGCCCACTTATTGTCGCTTAATTAGAAACAGAATTCTCCGCCGTCGGTGAGGACCCAGCCACCTTATCTGGGGATTCGCGTCATTGGCTCCTGATGAAACTGGCCATCTTAAAGGGCAACTCCGGTCCATACTTTCGATTTTGGGATTATGACTGTTTTTAGTGCAGTCAGCGTCCCTGAATTGCAAGGTGTAATTTTTTTTCTCGTTATTGCGCGTAGTTTTAAAGATATCGACGCCTGAAAGTTTTGTTTGGGGCGCGGCCAACGAAACCGAAACTAGCCGCTCGAGGCCCCGGCAACACTGGAAATCAAACGCTATGTGAACGTGACGTCACGATCGTTCTCGTTCAACAAGTACGCAGGCCGAGCGCCACCTACCTCTGTTGCGCTAGCCGTCTAAAGATAGGAGGTAAGCTGATTTTGTTTTAATTCCGTATACGTGGTAGTTATCGACCATATGTAGCAAAAGTTAGTGCGTATAACCAAAAGCTAGCGACTCGAAAACCCGTGAACTCGTACGGTGCCGTACTCGGCGGCCACCGCCGTGCGTGCGCTATGCCGTACTCGTCGCTTGTATACCCAAAAGCTAGCGACTGGAAAACAAGTGAACTCGTTCGGTGCCGTACTCGACGGCTGTCGCCGTGTGTGTGGTCTTCCGTACTCGTCGCTAGGCCTAAGTTGTCATCTGGGCTCCGTGGATGGAGCCGCGCTGCCAGTGACGTACGGTACTGGGGGCCCTCTCGCTTTCGCGCTGCGGGTATGTCCCAGACACGAAGGTTTTAGGCTCCGGCGCGGGCCGAGGCGCCCTAACACACGTGTGCTGGGCTGAACACGACTGCTTTTCGTTCTTTTTTCCTCGGGTGCGTAAAAGCCGAAGTCCAAAGTCGACTCGTCGAACAGCGTTTACCCACACCTTCTCCAATTTCCGGTCCGTCGGACACCTGTGAAAAAGCACCTCCGTGTTGCGCAGAGGTGTTGTTTGAGCAGCCCACAGCGCTACAAGTTGCACTCGGCATCTTTCGAGGAACAGCTGGGCAGTCTTGGGCGCACCGAGTTGCTCGCTAAAACGAGTCTTAAAGTCCTCACAAGCAAATAAACAAAAGGCTATACCGAAGCTACACGGGCTACAGATAAAAGCAGCGGCTAAACACGCCAATCACAAGCCGAAGTAGCGGTGGTAGCGGCTAAAAGAAGCGCACTCCGCGCAACGTCCGCACCGGAGGAAAAAAAGAGAACGATACGGACAATACGGACGTCACGGCCCAATGTTGCTTTAGCGATCGGCAACCCGCTGGCCGCCCGCTAAGGAGCGGCGGGTCGCATTTTTGTTATCGGCATTAGTTGAGAATGCGGCGTCCTACGGACGTAATATTTTGGCCGGAGTCGTATTTTGTGTCACTACAGCGATACCAGTAATTTATTTCATTGTGAATTTTGGCCGGAGTTGCCCTTTAAGGCGGAGCAAAAGGGCGGTGTGTCAATCGTGGTCATTTCACACGGAGCTTTTGTCATCGGGTGCTTCCGTGCACCTTCGATCGTACATAGGTCATCAACATTCTGTAAAGCGGTCTCCTTCATGGAACTTCGAAGTCCACTGTAATAAGTGTTCGTGTGATCCTTTGCTAGATACAACATAGATTCCGGGGAAGTAGGAATCCAAAAAAGCGGAGAAATTTTTGAAGCGTTCAAAATCAGTGTAAATGAGTTTGACGGTTGCATGAGTGCGTCGTCACTCGTTTCATCAAATAAGGAATTCAGGTTCATTTGGGGTGAGGTATAATAAAATGTGTATATATGTTCTTTTTTTTTTTTTTTAATAAAATTCAGTTGTTTGTAGCGCTCCGAGTGTGTACGCCTACTTCTATGTGCTCAATTCTTTTGCGCCTTTAAGTATAAGATTTTGCACCAAACTCACTTCTGGTTAGACTCGAAATCGAAACCAACATTGTCGTCTGCTATCAGTGCCTTGACGCCATGTTGGAGGCATTCTGCGTCTTATTGTGGAAGCGGTAGTGCCGTAGTCAGAGAGCCGTCTTTTTATAATCACATTTCAGAATATATTTTTCCCTAGTCAATCGCAAAGAAGCTCCTCATCTGACACGAAATGTTGTCCATAAACCCGTAGTTGGGGTACGAAGCCTGTCTAACATAATAATCTAGAGCGAAAGTCCCATGCATTTGGCCACGACGGAATGGCGAGGCATAGACGCGTGGACATAACGGCGGCCCTAGTTGGCGGTCCCGATGAACCCATTTTGGTTGAGACGCCTTAATATGCACAAAGAAACAGCAAAACATATATAATTTCGGTACCATGCTATTTTCTTTTTTACTTTGCAGAAATACACCTGAATCGCGCGTTGACAAAATTAAACAAAGTTTACAAGCGCTCGAGCAACTTCAACTTCTGGAGGCAAAGCTAACACGCCTAAACCAGCCTATTTAAGCATGCTTCCAGTAATAAGCTAAAAGTATTTCCAGACTAAAGCGTGTTTCACATGCAGCGGTTTTGGCCCTAGAGCGGCGCGATGTCTGCCATCGCGGCGCTCTGGCCAGCACCAGCGGTTGAGCGGCACGAGCGCCGCGACGGCAGAAATCGCGCCGCTCTAGGGCTAAAACCGCCGCACGTGAAACACGCTTACCACTGACCATTATATGCCACTGCGTTCTTGCAATTTCGATGAGTAGATTCTGCATAACCTTGAAGGCCGGTTCTCACATACAGCGAAGCGCTGATGTAGCGCTACTCACGTGTCGTCGGCTACTTATCGCCTGCCATGAGCAACAGTTTTGACGGTGCGATACAAAGCAGGTGAACGCTACCGTGAGCACGCGCTTAGCGCGAGGTCAGCGCTATGCTTGTAGCGCTCCGCTGCATGTGTGAACTTTCTTGGCACTTTCTTGGGACGACGCGGAAATGTGAAATTTGCAGTGAAGTTGGGGGAGGGCTCTAGGTCGGGTGGGGGCGTTTGCTTGGAATTTTACGGCACTATGATGGATCACATAGCAGCACAAATAGATCAACGCTGTGGAGCAAGGAAGGTTTTTAAAGGCAAAAGTACAAGAGAGCGAGATGGAAAATCTTTAAAGCGCGGCTCATATGGTCATGTGCAATCTGTTGACCAATCACAATTAGGCGAGCCGCACTGAAACTTGATGTCAAGTGCAATTAAGTAGGTTGATAATGAGCCAGACCACTGATCAGTGATGAGGAGCTGTTGTGCAGTATTCTGTAAGGCGTTTAACGACGAAAAAAAGATGTACCATTGGTATCGCATATTGCTTTGGGAAGAATGTCTCACTGAAGTGTGAACTGTAACAATAATTGTTTCGGTTCAAGATTTCTACAAAGACAGACAGAAATTTATAAACAATGGGTGCACAACACTCAAAGAAAAAACTGGCAGCCATTAAAAAAAATTTGTTTGCTCAGACCATTTAGGAGAGGCGCCACCACTAGACACTGGATCAAGCTCATTTCTGGACCGCGAGTGCCTCAACTTACAAATACAGTCACCAAAGTAAAGTAAAATGCTGCTCCAGAGGCACATACAGCTTCACGCACATTACACTTGCAAAACACATCCACGCAGTGACGATTCTTGATCAGTATCCAAGCGTGTGAAGGCACAGAGATGCAGCATTTCGGTGTGCCAGGGAAGCTTGACCATGCCGCGAGACTGGCGAAACTTTTGACGAGTTGTGCCTTTTTCCCGCAGCACTGCGCTTTCGTAAAAATTTTCACGTGCTCTCAATGGCAAGTCTCACCGCTTACACAGTATTAAAAAAATTCTTCGGTGAATAACGATGAACGAGTAGAAAATGTGTCTTCAGCCTCTGCAACGCTAGCAAAAACGCAATTTCGCCGCATGCAAGATGGACATCCGGTGGCCGCACTCGCGCTGCAGCGATCAAGTGGGGAAGCGCGATCCAGCAATTATCATAGATTGTAGCCTTTATAAAGGGAGGTATCTTGTGCCACCTAGCCTAGTACTCCTCAGCGTTGCCAGATGGTTGCACCACAAACCGCCAAACGGCTGGAGGAATTAACCAAAATGTAGCCAAAGCTGCTGAAATTCTGCTATCTTGAAAAAAAAATCATAATTGAGCTATAAAATTCTTGATACATATGATGCCCAAAATTTACCTCGAACTAGCAAGATTTCCCTTATTCCCACATGGACCTGAATATTACCTTAATCTGGGAAATTTCACTCAGGTTGGCAGCCCTGCTTTGTCGTCAAGGCGACATTCAGGATGCACTCCATCTTTCTTCTGATTGCAGTCGCAGTCACAGCCACAAGCGAGTGGACGATAAAACCCAAGGACAAGGCTCCGTGTGAACTTTGACCCTAACACCGAATGCTAACCCCACGTTCACAGTTTCACCTCATGTTACGGGAATCATTTCTCATCAATGTGACCTTTGCTGGCTCAGCAAATGCACTCAGCATATTGGAACTCCGTATTTCCATCAATCTCTTACAATTATTCATTCATGTACTTTCAGCCTCATTCAGAAAGCTAAAATACCTGCGCCGAAATATGCAGCACCTTCAAGGTCATCTCAGATATTTTTACTTCGCAGATTCATCACGGGGGATATGTGCGGAGCTGGCAACGGCTCCGCTTTCGCCGCTCCCACCGGCTCCTTCCATTGACCAAACTCTCTATATATGGCTCCGGTTGGGCCTATAAAACTATTGCTTTAAAATATATAGATAAAGGTTAATGAATTCAACCAAACATCTTTTATTCATATCCACGCTTTCACTCCTAAGCACCCATTGTGCTCGTAAAACTCGGAAAAAACAAAAACAGAAACGCAATGATAAAATTATACATGGACAAAGAACCACAGCAACGATGACAGGCAAGCTGCTTGCTTGCAGACTCACCAAGATCATCGCAAGGTACTACACACTCTTGAGAGTAAAACCACCCCAAGCTCTTCTTTGAGCAGTGGTGGTCATAATCACAGCAGGTATATTATGTACACAACCCAAAAGTAACTGGGAATCGCCATCCGCACTGCCCACACACAGGTGGACCCACCCCCAGTGGACATGGGCAGCAGTCTAAATAAAGCAAGTCATGTGCCCTCCCCACCAGTCCAGTGGGCCTCACTGTCACTCCAAAGTGGTCAACACTAAGGAGCAGTTTCCACCCGAACTTTGTGTGCAGCACTTTTCACACGGAGCGGCCAACACTAGTCAGCAGTTTTCACCGAAACTGTGTGTAGAACTGTCTGCTCGAAGTGGCCAACGTTAAGCAGCAGTTTCCACCCACAATGCGTACCACTGTTTGCTTAAAGGGGGCGACACCGGGCAGCATCATCCACTCGCAGTGTGCAGCACTATCCACTCTAAGTGGCCAACACCAGGCAGCAGCTTCCAACCGGAGTTTGTGTGTAACGCTGTCCATCCACTGTGTAGGTGGCACTGGGTGGCACATCCAGCTGCCTTGGGTGGGCAACAGATTCCACCGCCCAAAGGACAGAGGAAGTCTTAAATGAGGCGGCCCCTGCACTCGTCGGCACCACACTGGCAGTACATAACCCGCTCCGGCACACTTCCGACGTCGTAGTTGTAATCCCACGTTAGCTCTACGCCGGCGCGGATGTACCTGCATGGAATGAGAAAGTCTCCAGTTAAGTGCTTGTTTCATGTTGGTACTGGGATGGCGGGTTTTTATTCCGAATGTTGTGCCTTCATTATGGTTTCTTTTATAGATATACAGTCGAACCCGGATATGTTGAATTCAAAAGGGATCGTAAAATAGTTTGATATATCAATAATTTGATACACAAAAATATGTTAAATTAAACTCGAGTTGAAATTTCCTGGCATCACCGCTAGTACCGAAGGTCACGACAAACTGGAGCTTACCAAATAAAGCATCCAAGAGCCGCTAAATACAGTAGAACGCTAAATACAGTAGAGCGTAGTTGGCAGAGACCGCAAACAATTATAAATTTATGTACATTTTTATCAATTAGATGCCCATTAAAGTAACTTTAAAAAAATATTCTTTCATACATATCGTTTGTTCCAAGCGTTCATGAAACCAATAGAACAGTAAAATCTCAATAGTTGCCATGTCTTGTACAGTCTGTTGTGATAGTTCCTACATTTTGAGCTACCTTACAAGCAGGGTAAAAAAATCATGATTGTTTTAAAAATATCAAACAAATAAATTTATTGATTTAAATCAGATTTGACCTAAATCAGATCGATTTTATTTAAATAACTGCAGTTAGAAAATAGTGATCCTTTACCACTATATGTAATTTTCAACAAGGCAGATTGATTAATCAATTCGTCTGATCACAGATAAGAGTGAGAATTACTATAGGTAAATGTAGAGAACTGTTTACTTTTCATTGCTGTAAGCTCTGCTATGCTAGAACTAAAACAGCTTTTTTTTTTTTTCTTGCTAGTTAAAAGCTTTATTTGATTTTATACTATCCAGTTCTGACTGGATTGCTATGGGACCATTACTTTTCTAGTTATTGATTCTTTTTGTTTGCATACTGATTTTGTTGCAATAGAATGTTACATAGCTGAAAAACAAAGTCAAGCTCAACACTCCGATTCATTCAGAAGAGCTCTTGTTTTTGCTCGCAGCCCAACTTATTCAAATCTTTTTTGCTCGACGATTCTTTGATTTAAACATAAAACAAATGCACAATAGAGCATCAAATTAAATAAACAAAAAGTTTGGGGACTATTTTTGCGGGGCAAAGGTTTGATTTAATTCACCATAAAAAAACGGTCTCATTTAAATCAAGATTTAAATCATCTTGATTTTCATTCTCCACCCAGCTTAGAAGCCTAATGTTATTGGCAGCTACGGGCAAAACAACAATGAGCAAATGTGAAGCATCTTCTGAAATAACACATAGAGGCCCCGACGTACATTCCACGCTTTCCACTTTTGCCCGCCTGCCCCTTCCTCACATCCTTTCCACTTTTTATCTCACAGCAACTTGGCTCCCCTCGCAGCTTAGGAGAGGGGGAGCGCTAAGAGGATTATCTTCCTTGCAGAAAACTGAGATTGTAGGTCGGCCTTTAAACAGCATTTGAGCAACAGCCTGATAAAAACTGGAGTTCTAACTCCTTCTTCTCACATTGACACAGCAGGAAGCACACTCACCTGGCTGCAAAAAAGGCCACCCATGGAAACCGCAAGTCATGGCTATCCACAAATACGTTCTGCACATACACGTTGGGGCAGCAGCTATGCTGTAGCGGAGAAACGGGAAAGTACGGTTTGCGAGTTCAGTTCCCACGTCCCGCCAAGGAGAACGAGCACTCGAACAGTAATGCTTCCGTACCATTTTCGTACAATGTGAGCTCCCCTCATTAGGGAAACCAGCCACATGGCTGCAACCGGGCCATTGGAAGCGCGCGACAAGAAAATGGCGGCGTGATGTGGCTCCTAGCAGCAGCGGTTCGCACCGAGCATGACCAGACCAGCACAACCATCCTGTGTAGCAGCCAACCTTAGTTTCTAAGGAATGTCGGCGTATTAAACGTAGCGCTATACAATGCATTCAGGGTCATGCTCGGCGATAACCTTTTTTTACACGAGACCCAGAAATTGAGAGGACAGATCTCCTCAGGGCGCCGGCGAAAACCACCGCAGTCGTCTCGGTCTGCCGGCGAGTGAAGTGCAATTGGATAATGAGAGGAGCGAAAAATACTTCTCGCTTAGATTTCATTAAAGGGATACCTCAACGAAATTTGAAATATTCCCGTCGTGTTCAAAAATAGGTTGAATATGATCCACAATATCCGTAAATGACAATCGCACGTTTGTATTTTGATCCTGGTGGCTGTATTTTTCGTTATAAACGGCCCACTCTGGCAAGCGCTCGGAGAAGGCCCAGCTTAGAGCACGTGACATCCAACGCAATCGTGACGTAGGTCGTCTCAAGACGAGCAAAGCTACGGCGAGGCTGACGTCGAGAGGATGGCCTAGTCGTTCCAGCCACCGAAGCGGCTGCTTTTGTACGAATTTTGAGTGAAGAGTTAATCTTCTATAATCTTCTAGGGGGCAATAGCGACTTCTGCGACACACAAAAGGGATTCTCGGGAAGAGGGGAGTTCCTCCTTCCCCCCTTCTCTCGTCGTGGCCGGAGACGAGACAACCTCCGTCACTAGCTGTCAAGGTTCCTAGACGAGCATTACAAACGAGGCGTTAGTGACATCCACCAGGTGCTCTTTGCTAATCGTTTAATTTGTTTTAAAATTCCTTTTCGAGACTTTTTTAACAAGATATTGGTATGTTCCATGTTATACTGCTCTTTTGAACACATATAGACCAAAAAATGAGCGCCGAAATTTCGTTGTAGTATCCCTTTAACCACTGGCTCTGACGAATGTTATCTCATAGCGATATCCGGACCTACGATCGCACAAACGCTTCGCAGAGGCACATTCCAGCGCAGACGAGCGAAAAACGTGAAAGTATGCTGCCATCACCGTCGCTCGCGAATGCGGGGCGCGCGACTGAACCCGAGCTTTGAGCAATTTCTGTGGGTTGAACGACATGAAAACACGTAAAAAGCAACCCCTGACGCAGGATGTTCATAACCAAAGTTTGTTTAATTAAATATACGGTCAGTGTTCCGCAGTGTTCCAGTCCACCTTCAAGGCTGCTGGCACTTATTTTGACTCTAACGTTTTTATCAAATTCTTGCTTATATTGAATTCAATTGCCATCCCGTTGCCTTCGTTATAACGAGGGATTACTGTATGTTCGCTGCAGGTACGTTGTTTCCTAAATGTTTCAACATTTGAACACTTCCTCAACAAATGTCTTCATGCTTCCTTCACAGCTTCTCGGGAACCTAGGAATCAACCATATAAACAATTCCCTAGCCCTTAGATGCTTCTGGTCTCAAAACTCTGCCGTTTTCTACCCTAGTTAATGTTTTTTCACAAAAGATAAACCAAACAAACTTTAAGGACGGCAAAGCTTTCCAACAACAGTATGAGCATACTGAATCAAAATTAACTGTTGGGCTAGTTGGGTAAACATCTTAATTACGAAAGTGCAAAGGACAAGGACAGAACAAAGATATGAATAGGACAAGCACTTGTCCTGATCATATCTTTGTTCTGTCCTTGTCCTTTGTGCTTTTGTAATTAGTATGAGCATGTTTTACTCGTGCATTTGGAGAGCAAGCATCTGAAAGCTGATAATAATTAAAGGTTGCTGCAATAAAATTCACCAGTCCCCTATCCTTGCCAATTCGCTTTTGTGACATCTGCTGGCTGGAATTTTTAAGCCTTGCCATCTTTCAGGCAGCAGTGTGCCCAAACGTGTTTCTGGCAACACTGGCATCGGTGCCAGCTACAAACGTCATCTCTCGAAAGGCTAGAAAAGCCGTAAAGCCTTTTCAAAACTCGGCAAGATTTCGGGAAAAGCTTGGACTCCTCTCTATTCCAATCTGACTTTTTCACCGAAGCACGAACAGTTAAGTTTCAGCATAGATGCATTTCCCCCACAAAGTGATAGGCATCAAAAAAAGAGACTATAAGGACTCTCAATTACTGATATCACTGACAGAACACCACTCGTCCCACTCACGTTGAGGTAGCGGCCGATGTTTCCACAGTTTTTGGCATCCATGATGTAGCAGTATTCCTCGTTGAAGAAGCTTCGAGTGGGCGGGAACCGCGGTGGTTTTGTACCATTGCCGGGGCTCTCGAGTGGCCCAGTCTTCACCTTGGCATCGCCTTTGCCCGCCTTGTCTGCAAAATTGTCGTGGCAGCATTGAATAGAAGTCAAACAGAGGATTATAGATAGGCTTGCGGTGCAGAATTTGCCCAAAGAAGCTGCCAGCGCTATGCAAAAGTGAGCGAAAGTGTAGCAGCTTATAACATTCAAAATGTACTCTCTTTAGTTTCCGTAAAATACCGGGGAAGCGCGCACTCCTCCTTCCCTGAAAACTGGGCTAATCCAGACATGGGCGCTTGTCCGATAAAATTGTGTGTTGAACATATGATTTGCCAATTCCCAAGTTTGGGAAATGTTAATAATGGGTGCTTGGACAAAGTCGACACTTCCGCGGTATTTTACGGTAGTTGCCTGCACTGTTCTGACCTGTTGTAGACAGTCAGCATTAAAAGAAGCAGCCGTAAAGAAAATATAACCAGCGGGTACCATTGCCAGCATCTGGAGGGTTAGATGCCGCACAACTGATGTGGATGTAAAAAGGAACTGCGACAAACCTTGGCTTTTCTAATGACATGCAGTTAGAGTGACCCAAGGAATTAAATAAAGATTATACCCAATATTGCAGAGTGCTCGTATTCACTTGCTTTCGGACAATGTTATTGAGCTCAACGTAATCTTTCTGCTTCACAGATTATACGCTGGATCTATGGCCATGAAGAATGTGCGCCGACAATTACTGAATTTAAAGAGAATACTGAAGGCAAAGGCAAGCTGGTGAGCTTCCAACGGCAAGAGTTTTAGTACTCGCCGCTAACTGCACCACGCAGTATTAAGTACCGTATAAACAAGAATATAAGTTAATTTTATGGGGGGAATGCAATAGAACAAGCTGACCCCTATCTCAGCATAGGTGGAAAAAAAAAAATGTCTGACAAGTATGGGTGCCCATTGCCGCCATTTTATGCTTTTTTGCACTACTTCTGTTTCTTGTATCGCAATGATCACTGTTGCTCCCCGAGCAAGAATGAGCGGGAGCAGACGCCAGTTTGCGACAGCTTGCAAGTGAAAGGCAATCGCATACGCAGAAACGCACGGCAATCTGACACCGACTGGTCACTTGCAACCACTGCCACTTCTGACAGGCGTAGAAGTCGCCCCGGACGAAATTGTGTGCAAGTCGTTCCACAAGTGCAGCATCAGCAAAACAAATGACGGCACGCAAGACAATGCATTGTGGCATATAGACAGCGAATAGGCACATCATCGGACAAAGGTTTCATCGCGCGCGAATGCAAAGCGGTGCAAAGAAAGTAAATGTGCCGTGAAATCTCGCCGGGTTCCATTTGTCCGATTTTTTCCCTAGGTAAGGTTGTATTTTCTCGTCGTAAGAAAATTTTTCTTGATTTTCAGAATTTCTAAATTGGGGGTTGCACCTGAATTTCAGTTTTCACGGTATGCTCTGCAAATTGCAAACCTTTCTTGGGTACCTTTAGCAGTTTCCTCACCAAATGAAACAAACACAAAATTGTACCTTGTGGCGCCACAGCAGTTTCTGCGTCCGCAGCACTCAGCCACTCGGCAAAGAGAGCGACATGATCACTTCTAGACCTAACCACTTTCATGATGTCACTGTTCGAAAGCAGACTACAGACCACAACATGTTTGTCGACATCCAACACTTTGATGGACAAAACGTCTCATAGGGCCAGGTATTGCCTTAAACCAAGCCTTGTTGACCATGTGCGCCGCGCAGCCGCGCTCGCTTCCATAATCTCCGTGGAAACAGCGCCATGATGCGACTGCCCCTAGCCATGCAGTTTGGTTTAGCTTGGCTGCCTGGTGGCTTAGTCGTGCGCTGCACTCATTTCATCTTTTTCCCCGACCGCACACACAGTAGATGAAAGCAATAAAGGGTGCAAGGGTATGATTTAACTTAAGTCAGCATAACCACGAGGCTTTTTCATGTTGCCAGACTTCTCAAAAACATTAAATAAAATTTCTTTGAATTCTTCACTCCCAAAAATAATGTAGCATTTCAATTATAATTGTCGTTTCCAGAGGGCGCCCCTCGCCCTTCGTTTCCAGCCACCTTGAGCGACGGTAACGTGTCTTGTACGTTTTTGTATCACGCGGCTTTCAAAAAAGAAGTAAAATTTGTTCTCGACTCCAGCACCGACGTGAGTAGACGTGTCCTTCATCGGCTCCGCAGCGGTAAGTCCTGCAATGCCTACCGCTCGAAATCACCTTTTAGGGCTTGCTGTGGGCCATGACGCCTTCAGGGCAACCGAGACGAACCTCCCGGTTGTGTTAGGCCAGGCCTACTGCCTCAAGTGTAACTCGAATAATATTGCAGTCGGCGACGAGTCATTTTTGTTTCTTTTAATCTTTTCTCTTTTTCAACGTCTGCCCCCGTCAACAGAATGCAACAGTTAAGCTTGGAATTACAGCACGTTTTCTTTTATGCACAGTACAAGTTTGTTTGCTTCTTGCACAGGAGTTGCAACGATGTTAGAACACCGAGCTCTTATTGGCTGACTGAGAAAGATAGTGGGTGGACCTCAAGGCATCTAGCATTCAGATCTACTCACTATCCTTTCAACTAAAGCCAATCAAAGCTCGTCATCGTTCTGATATCACCACAACTCCTGCGCAAGAAGCAGACAACTTGCTCTCCGCATAAACTTGTATGTGGAATTGCCAGGACTTCACCCTTGCATCGAACTAACCGAAAATTCGAATAAGGCGACTTTGATTTATCGAGAGTTGACAACAGCTGAAGATACAAGGGCAAGTGCCACAGCTTAGACAAACCATATTACGCAGACCCCATTGTGCATTAGTGGGTCGTTCCGACATCTCCGATAACGATACAACGATACTCCGCCGACACCTTAGCACATGCATCGCGTTATCATTGGGATCGTTATCAGAACGATCTACTAAAACTCTCTAATAACGGCATCGTCCAAGGCGCTTGCATGCACTTATAGCTTCTATTTTACTCATGCTCACAACGAAACAAAGCACAACAGCATTGGAGCTAGACCAAGTATTGATGCCACAAACAGATTCCACTAACCTGCCTCTGCCTTGGTAGTCTTCTTCACCTTCAAGGGCTTCTTCGGCTTCTCAGACATTGTGCTTGACTGGCTATCGTCACCTGGGGGACACGCAAATAGCAGAGTCAAATTTCGAACCGTGCAATGCAACCCAGCACCAAACGGCACCATCTTGAGCCGTAGCAAAGAGCACAACACCGGCCGGGTTCGTAAGCTTGAAAACTTTTTTATGAATTGAGGGGGAGGGGGGGGGGAGGTCGTACCCGTCTGATCGGCCGACCGGCCGTCCTGGCTCTTGGACTCCGATGACTCGTCGTCCGTGGCCTTCATAGGGCTGTCGTCCAGCTTTGACCCAAGCTTCCTTGACTCCTTCTTTAGCTTGTCTTTCCGCTTGTCTTTGAAGTCGTCTGAATCTCCGTCCTCGCTCTTCGCCTTCTTCTTTGGTGACCGTTGACTTCTTTTTCTATAGATGGGACCACATCTGTCATCGACTTTCGATCGATCGCCATATCAGAACACAAATACAAATGAGAATAATTATAAAGCCCCAAACGGCCCGCAAAGCTCGTTATTTCCCCAGGACACTCCTCCGGAACCCAGTTCCCGGCATTGCCGCGGAGAAAAGAGGGGGGAGGGTCTTCGTTTTTTTCAGGGAAGTTTCAGGGCTCGGCCCCCAAAAGTCGGCGCCTTTCTTTCTTGCGCGTATTTTTTCGTAATATGCGCTTCTTTCATAATATGAGCTACGACCTGCCACACCTAAACTGCATATACTGTCGTCCTCCTTCATACACATCTCCACGGTGTGCTCATGTGCTCAAAATTGAACTATTACAATCATGAACTAATCAACATAAATTTTCTCCGCTTTCCCTGTGCATGAAAGACTGGATCTCATTTCCTGACAACATTGTAACTGCTAAGGACCCACTTTTATTTTGTTCTGAGTGCGAAATGTTTTTGGGAATGTGATCCCTTGTACTCCCGTGCTTCTCGTTTTTTACATGTTTACTGTGAACTCGGGGGCGGATGCAGGAATTTCCTGAGTGGGGGGGGGGTCAGGTGTTGGTCAGCGTACCATGCGTTTACAAACTTCCTCCCCCCCTCCTTCGTTTTACGCCCTAAATTTTACACATGCAGAAATCAACAAGGGGGTCAGGACATCCGGACCCCCCTCTAAATCCGCCCCTGTGTGAACTACATAAAAAGTGCTGCAATCCAAACATTTAATGTAGACTAGGATTATTTATTAATTATTTTAACTTCTCATGTAATACATTATTCAGATGTTCTTGAGTGTAATTAAACTTGAACTTGAACTATGCTCCTTAGTATGTGCATTATTGTTCACAAGGTCTGAAAGCTACTGCACTGCTTCATTGGATTAATGCTGAGACTGAGGGGGTCCCAATTGGCTGCCATTCGAGGCAAGCGGGGGGTTCTTTGAGGTAAACAATATTGAGAACCCTTGTTTTAGTCATACACCCCCCCCTAAAAGTGCCACTCTAGCATTTTGACCTACTTGCCTCCAGCAGTAATAATTTGATGGCCTTCGCGAAAAGAAACCCCAAAAAAACCGATAGTTTGTTACACTTTGGAGGCTGTTTTATCTGGTTCTGCAGTGGTTGGAGATTTGAGATTAGATAGCTTCAAAGTATTTTAATTTCCCTAAATGCATTACAATCTAAAACCCACCAGGAAAGCATGTTTAAAAAAAAATTATGTTTCAAATCATTTTACAGTTAATCAAAAATCAACTGTTTTGGAAAGCTTTCAGAACCAACCGTAAGACACTGAGCAAGCACCCATTCAAAAGTTGGAAGACAATCGCAAGAAAACGGGGACGGGCGCTTGCAAAGTCTGAGAGCAGAAAAGTGAAAGGTGCAGGTACGGTGGCGTAGGCCCATTTGAATTAACAGAATGCTACAGGCACATGCACTTCGCATCGAGGTTCACCGCTTTGCACCGGCACATGCAAAGGTAAAGCTTTGCCACATTGCACCGGCTTCTTGAGGAATGAAGTTGGAACAGAAGAACACCTCGCTTAACACAGCAGGCTCAAAAGTTAGCTAGGGTAGGCACTTGATATGTACTTGACTCATATTTTAAGGACATTTTTGCAATTTTCGGAATTTTAATGTATCTTTACTAAGAAACCACTTATCCGATTACACTGAAGCTCTTACAGCTTATATTAAAATATCTTGCCAACAGTTCGAACCCAAAAGTTTCTATAATTCACTACATGATAATGTTAATAATATTAAAATAAAAAAGTTCCCATCTTTAGGCTCATGACAAAACAGACCAATTTTTTTTTTTTTTTTTTTGCTTTTTGCATGTTTAAACATATATCTCTTAGGTTCAGTTTAAAGTCACTAACATGAGGAAGATATGTGCCAAATTAAATGAGCATCCTATTTTTTGTTGCGTACATTAAAAACAAACTCGAAATCAACCTAAGATTTGACACTTTGTTACTACAAATATAAAAAGTTTTTACTAAAAAAGCAACAAAAAGTTGATCCCAAGGGTGTGACCATTGAATACAAAAAAATTTCACAACAAAATAAGCAGAAGTTTTTAAGGTCCAAAATTAAAACAAAGATTCCATTTACCCTACCATCCCCCTAAATGTTTCAAAAGTAGGGGACAGGCAGTTATTGTGACTTGGCTACTTATTGCATTTACACGAATGTAGGTCGACCCATTTTTCAATTTTTGAAAATCTGAACAGGGGGGTCGACTTAAAATCGAACCAAAGCATTCCAACGCCTGACAGCAATGAAACAATCGCAATATCAAGAACACCTTGGCTTGTTACAAGTTCAGCCAGCTGTACATGTAGCATTGTGCTATTCTGTGCGCTCATTTTACAAGTTTATTTTTTTATTTGTGCGAACGAGTATTACTGATAGCAACTCTCAAATTAATCTGAATGTACGGCACTGAAAAGCGCATGGCACGTCCGACTCCCGGGGATGGCGGCAGTTCTTGTAAGAGCCACTCCGGAGGCCGCTGGAGCAGCCTCACGCCTCATTTGCTGCGGCTTCTTGTCGCAGTTTTTCGCACAAGTCATGGTCGCACGTCGTTTGATCGAGTGTCAAGATCATGCTGGAGCGCTAACTACGTTTTCTTTGTACTGATATGCATGATCCACGCAATTTAGGTTTTCGGTGCTGGTTTATGGCCATTCTTCACCCAAAAGCAACCAACAACTGTGCTGTTGGACGCAAGTACGACCCGTCGGAGCAGGTGATGCTTCAGTGGAGTCTGCAATGACGCGGGATCTTACGCTGTGACGGCAAATAAAGAGGCTTCCGTACGCCAAAGTTTGGATAGGTGGGGATGCCTTTTTGAATTGGAGGTCAGGCTTGCAATGTACGCTGCAAAGGTGCGCAATCAAACCTTACTTGTGACGTGCAACGCGATCGCTGAGCAAGAGCAGAAGATGCGGTTGATACTGTCATTTGCGAAGTGCGAGATTTCGTTGAACGACGCCGACAACGTGCTTCGAGAACGTAGCAGTGATGATGACGGGACTGACATCACCAGTGCAGACGAGTCATAGGCTAGTCGCAGACGGTGTGAGAACGACAGAGAGCAGCTTCAGTTGTACGGCCTCCCAGCGTGAACTTCCTAGTTTCTATAACGCCTGGGCATCTCATGAACCTCACAAATGCACAGCCAAAGTACGCCAGAAGGCATCAATCAGGTGTTGGAGCCTGGGCTTTGGAAACAGATACTTGCCGTTCTCATATGTTCGCAGAAAAATGTGCATCTAAAGATTTTTTTTTTTCTTGCTGATGTGCAATGTTGGGGGGGGGTCGACTTACAATCGAGTCGACTTACAAACATGTAAATACGGCATGTGACACGGGCGCTTTGCTCAATATTTCGTGCGCCTTACCTTCAACTGAATGAGGGATTAAAGGGACCCACCTAGGCTTCCCGTCGAATTCGCCAGTGTCCATATCGCCGTCCGAATCTGACACGTCGTCCTTGAGATCTTCCTCGCTGCAAGACACCAAGCAAGGGCAAGCCAAGATGTGAACTTGAGCAAAACCTGTCTGTCGCATCGAGTCTGACGTACCTGGTACAGTCACGTCTCGTAATCGGGGACACCTCCGTTCCCCCAAAATTCGTTTGCAATACGAGTCATTCATAATGATGAGACAAAAATGTGTGTATTCACCAGTTCATTCCCAATAATGGCATGTATACTGGGTGATCCACATAACTTAAGTAAAGGTTTCAATGTCTTTTGGTGCGCTTTAGGAAGACAAAACAAAAGGAACAAGTTTGCTCATTGTTTCGGGCAAGTGGGTTTATTTTTTGTATTTTGCCCAATGAAGTAATGAATCAGGATTATTAATGAACTCTCAAAATATTCTATTTAGAGCAAAAGTTCCAATGATCAGGAAAAGTTTCAATCAGGAAATTGCCTTTGGCAAAAAAGGGCGCATTTGGCACAGGAGTGGAATCACTGCGCTACAATAAAAAAGACATTTCTCCGAGTGCTCGTACGCCTGCGTAAATCTGCCAATGGCACCCTGTCAACAGTGCCCTGTCCAGAATGTGGGCCTAGTTCGTTCAAGCCACAGTTGAGAGCGCTACAATACAAGTAAACTCGGAAAAACACTCGCCTGAAAAATTTTTGTCATTCAGATTTATTCGAAAAACTAAAAATTTCAAAATCACAATGGCAAAAAAAGACAATAACAAGCAAAAAAGACGGTGTTTTATGAATAAGTTATATGGAAGTGCATGGTCTATGCTTCCGAAGCGAGACCACTTCAATATCCTTTGAAATCTTATGTTATTGGCAAAAAAGAGTTTAGCGTTTATCTTGTCAAAAATTGTTGAGAACAATGGGTCGTTGTACTTCTGGACAACAGCAAAAGCCTTTGTTCAGGTTTCCAGCTTGGAGCATATTATTTGTGCTTCACAGAGGGAGGAGGGCTTGTGCTTTTATAAGAGTGAAAGCTGTGAACCTGCAGATATCTCACAGAAGGGGCCAGGGCAGCTGGAGCTTCCCAGCGTACAGATGTTTCGTTATTTCAAAGGACTGATGACAATTGAAGCAATGCTTCTTTGCAAGATTTGTCATGGGACAGTTAGTATTGACGATGGGAAGAGCCTTAATGCCAAATGCAGCTACAGACCTATCCTATTATACCGGTGAGTTCTGCATGAATATGTATGTTTGTGTCCACAATATACATATATATATCTTTATTTTTAATTCTGCAAATGCGAAAACAGCAATATTAAACTCAAAATTTCGGCGAATCAGAATTCTAAAAAATTCGGCAGAGACACTGCTTATGTGTAAAAATGCCAGAGCATTCCTACACACAGCGCATTCCTACAAGCAGCGCACCATGTCTTCCTATCCCACACGGCGCTGCGACGGTGACATCACGCTCCCCCACTGTGCAGGCGCGGTGGACCCTGCCGGTTCCACGCCTGCCGTGACAATGCATCTGCGCTGCTGTGCTTTTCTTTGCGTTTCATCTCTGAGGCGCGACCGCCTCGACCTTGAGGGCCCCCATCGGCTTCCGTGACGAAGCATCTGCATTGCAGTGCTCTCCTTTGTGTTTTATTTCTGAACGCGCTTGCTTGATCACTTGCATTTAGGTGCCGTTTCGCTCAGCCAATGGGCATTTAGGTGCCGTTTCTCTCAGCCAATGGGCATTTAGGTGCCGTTTCGCTCAGCCAATGGGACTAGGTGCCGCTTTTCGTGGTTACAGACAACGCCGGCTGCACTCCATGGAACAGTTAATGCTTTCGCATTAAAAATAAACTCCATGAAACTCCCTCCGAATTTAATCAAAAATAAACTCCGAAAACATGGAATCCTAAATATAGGACCCGCAAGCAAACAAAGTCGTTTTTTTTTTTTTTTTTTTTTTTTTCATAATTCACTGGCATTTTTTAAAGCCTAGAAAAACAAACCGTGTTAGAGAGGTAAAAATCACTCAATTGGACGTTTCTGAGGACGCTGTACAACTTTATCATTAGAACATTTCCTCCGAATAAAATATTTAAAAAGTTCATTATTTCATCTTAGTTGATTATTTCATTGGGCAAAATACAAGAACAGCCTGACTTGCTCGAAATAATTAACTTATACTTTTGATTTTGTCTTCCCTAAAATGTTCCAAAATATTTCAAAACCTTGGCCCAAGGGCTCAAGTCACGTGGAACGGCCTGTATAGCGTGGTATTCAATTCAACGGGGTCCCCCCATTAACGAAACAATGCTGTAACATGCTCCAACAAAATTTTGCAGTTTTTTACATTTGGATATTTCTTGCATGCTGCGCAATATGTTAATGAACTGTTGTCCTACTTTCTGCAGCTTAACTAGAATTCTCGTGCCATATAAATGAGTAGGGCCTCTGGTACTCAAGGGAAAGGCCAAAGACTAAGCTAGATAATGTTTTCAAGTGACTGAGAAGAAACTATTATACAAACCGAACATCCAGTGAAATGTTTGGTATGTATCATTACTGTATTCCTTGCACCCCATGTAAACTACGAGCACTTGCTGCCACAGTTGTAGATGCTGGTCATCAAGAAAATATTAACTTTTTTTTTTTTTCCTAGACCCAATAGATAACAGCAATGAGCTGCAACTTGGGGTAATTGCCGTCCCATTTGTATGTCCTTTTGCATTAGCAACTTATTTGTAGTGACTAACACTCCCAAAAAAAAAATCTTTTCTAAAAAGCCATCCGCTCATGGATGGCTTTCTTACTCCTTGGGCACAGCAAAGCACATGCAAGTGGAAATTTATCAAAAGGGTACAAATAGCACAACTGCACCGCCCCTGCAAGAGGCACGTTGAGAGCGGCACTCACTCGACGCTGTTGTCATCGTAGTCGCTAACCGCTTCGTCGTCGTCGTCCTCCTCCTCCTCGTCCTCCTCCTTTTTCTCAGACGTTTCTTCCTCGTCCGAGTTGACCACGTCGCTCTCATAGCCCTCCTTTTGCTTCTCCACCACTTCGATGTGATCGAGCTCCGCCAAGTACTCGTCTCCGTACTGGTTGCCATCCTGCCACCAAGACACGTAACAAGCCAGAACCAGTCAAGCCAAGTACTCAACAAGATAATGGTTGCCGTACTACCATTAAGACGCGTAACGAGCCAAAGCCAGTCAAGTACTCCACACTGGTTACCATACTACCACCAAGACACATAACAAGCCAGGGCCAGTCAAACTGAGCACTCGACACTGGTTGCCATATTACCATCAAGACACATAACGAGCCAGAGCTAGTCAAGTCAAGTACTCGACAAGACACTGGCTGCCGTACTACCACCAAGACATGTAACGAGCCAGAGGCAGCTCAAGTACTCCACACTGGTTACCATGCTACCACCAAGACACATGACAAGTCAGGGCCAGTTAAGCAGAGCACTCCACATTGGTTGCCGTACTAACACCAAGACACGTAACGAGCCAGAGATAGTCAAGTTAAGTACTCGACAAGACACTGGTTGCCGTACTACAACCAAGACACGTAACGAGCCAGAGCCAGTCAAGTACTCCACACTGGTTACCGTACTACCACCAAGACACATGACAAGTCAGGGCCAGTCAAGCAGAGCACTCCACACTGGTTGCCGTACTACCACATGGACACATAACGAGCCAGTCAAGCCAAGTACTCAACAACACACTGGTTGCCGTACTAGCACCAGAGCCAGTCAATTACTCCACACTGGTTACCGTACTACCACCAAGACGCGTAACAAGACGGGGCCAGTCAAGCCGAGCACTCCACGCTGGTTGCCGTACTACCACCAAGACACATAACGAGCCAGGGCCAGTTGAGCCAAGTACTCAACAACACACTGGCTGTTGTACTACCACCAGGACACAAACCAAGTCGAAAAACGTCAAGCCAAGCAGAGGTCGACACCAGATCATCATAATTAAGTTACTCTTAGAAAGTGCTCACTACTAGAGTTGAAATGCAGTAGTTGGGTCTTGGCAAACAAACTGCGTTCTTCGTTCGCGTTAGCAGGCGAACAGTCTATGAACGCTATTTTGGCACGCTCCTCAAGAGGCAAAGTGCTTTAATATATGCAGTTAAATTTTTACAAATTCACCTAGTTACAGTTATACCTTGCAGCCGGCGACAAGTTAAGGATTCAGTAGAAGCTCCCGATTGAACATAAATCCCAGCCGAATGCCCAAGCAGCACTCGCATCCAATTTGCGTCCTGCAATGGCCTTCAATGGGCAACACTTCAATGGGCAATACCTAGTGCTGCAGCCTCGCAATTTATGAGGTGTTGGTCGAAACAGAGTAAACCTCAATCGTAAGAGAGAGAGAGAGAGAGTGAGGAGGAAAGGGGCAAAAAAGCAAACCTCGTTGGCGCCCTGCTCGGTAAGCAGCTGCCCCGCGTAGATGCAGACGAAGCAGCCCTGGGGCAGGTCGTCCAGGCAGCGCACCCCCCAGCCGCGCTTCTCCGTGCGGAACACCTGGAGCCGGCACCGGAGGCCATTCTGCACCACCCGGTTCTGGCAGCGCTTGGAGCACTTGCACTGGGCGTTGCACTCGTACACCCCCGTGATGAGAGGCTCGTGGAGGCGCCGGAAGCGGTAGCCCGCGCTCGGGTTCACGCCCGAGGGCAGGGCACCCGTAGCGGCCACCGTCAGCTGCTGACAGCTGCACTTGTCCCGGTCCTGCAGAGGAATGGACCGTGTCCACAAAAAGCCAGCGGCTCGGGCAAGCTATAAATGCCCCCTTCGACTCCTCAAAAAATAATTTTTTAAAGGGACAATGAAGACAATTTTATTTAATTTTTTTAAATGATGTTTTTATGCTTCCTGGGAACATAGCATGCTGCCCAATTTTTCGTAGACATTTGCGACGCGTATTTCTGTGCCTACGAAAGAAGTAAAGAAACCAAAACTGAACAATCTCCATTCTCGTTTCTGGGCCTCCGAAAACGGAGGTGACGTAGGGAGTGACGTCAAGTGTGAATAGTCGGTATCGGTAGTATTTAGGAGATTGAGACTCTGGTTACCGCAGTGGGTTATAGCAGCGCGGTGGCGTGGTCGTTTCGTCGAATCTGTCAACATGGACGGCAATGCCACTCCCACAGGCGAGTTCAAGCTTCCGTTCAGTGACACAACACAAACGGAACGGGAGTACATGTATGGCGGCCTCCGCCATCACCCTACGGAGACTGCCCAGCCAGCAACGAGCGGCCCGCATGACGAAGGACAGGGACGCGGGGAAGATGCTGAGGGGAAAGCGGCAGCGATCCGGCCATTCTGGGAACCGGTTCCTCCGCGGGGGACGCTTTCCAAGAAGGAGAAAATAAGCAGCACCATTTTTAGTTTTCTCCAAAGTCTGACGTCCTCTTTTCGTCGTCAAAGAACACAACCAGCAACCCACACGTGAAAACTAGCGTCGTTCGAATGAATACTGCTCTTCAGTCGACAGTTAGAATAGCCATCTACAGCGCACAAATTTGGCATGACTACCATTTTGCAGAATCCTTCGAGTACCGTGTACTTTTCTTTTATTTTATTTTGTTTGCCCATAGTTGCTCGTTGCCCGTTTCGCGTCCAGCGTAGCAAAGAAAAAAAACAATTATGCTGCTTTATTTACGGTTTAGTTATCATTTCCCGTCCGATTTATACTTTTCATGGTTATTCAAGCGGAAATTATAACAGTATTCCTAAAAATTACGAACCAAAACGTGACCGAGGGCACGTCTTGTTTCAACCAATCGCTGATGCGTCTCTTGTGACGTCGCGCTCCTTGACCCCGCATCGCTCACGTGAGCTCTGCCTCTCCTGGCTTCTACCGCAACTCTCGGGGCATCGCACCAGTCGATCCCGGTATGATTATTACCACGACTGTTTAATTGATTTGCACAGCACACAAGCGCCCGTTTCGGCTGAAATTTGGGCAACATGGCCTGAGACGTGCCTGGAACCCAGTTCAATTGCCAAAAAGATGTCCAAAATTGCCTTCATTGTACCTTTAAGTGGAAAGCTGTAGTAACTGACATACCTAGTCTTAAACTTCATGGCACTTCAATTAAGAGCCACATCTTCCCTGATATACTTTTACTTGGTTACCCTACAGCTCTGCTCCCCTGCAAAGAAAATGCTTCCGACCTTAGGACTGTGGATATTGGCTTTTTGCCAGAAAGAGGGAAAATCCATGCCTGGAGCGAGCCACTGCTGAATCGGTTCGGGCTACCGAATTAGTTCTCACCGATGAATTGGTTTTCACTGCTTAAGCTGGTTCTCACTGCTGAACTTGTTCTCACTGCCAAACTGGTTCTTACTGTCGAACTGGTTCTTAATGTCGAACTGGTTGTCATTTCCGAACTGGTTCTCACTGCTGAACTGGTTCTCACTAGGGGCGTGCGAATACTCAAATATACGAATGCGAATTGAATAGTAAGTTCTCGAATAATTCAATCTGCGAATCAAATTCCTAGTATTCGGTCAGTCGAATATTCAATGTATTCAGCGCAAGACATGCAGTCAACAGTTCAACACAGGGCCAACCGACAAGATACACAATTTTTCTTGCGTCTGTAGCTTGCAGTGATATAGGGCAGAACATGCGAGAAACACATTTTGGTTTGTCCGTTCCACTATGACCTAGTGCACAAGCTAAAAATAAATAATAAATGCCAAAAACCTCACAATTGCTGGTTTAATCCCGATCATGACACAGTCGAATTAATTGTTAGGATGCCAGAGTAAACAATGCTGAAACGTGCCTTAATTTCTTTACAATGTAAAAGCCCCTTCGTTCAGAATCCAAACATTGTTGCAAAACACGCTTAAGCGTGCTTCACAGAGATCGGCGACTAAGATCACAGAAGAAAGTCATCCTGACCATGCTGCGGAATGGCCAAAGTCATTGTTTGAGCCTGCACAAACCCAAAACGCCATAACGGCTGGTAACATTGTAACATTGCAGAGGGACAAGTTGACACCAGATCACGTGCAGCAGCTGCTTTTCTTGCGCAAAAATTTGTAAACACTTGAACTCATGATCAGTAAAATCAGTATTCGGTATTCAACTCGATATTCAACTTTTTTTCTTGATTCGACGCGGTATTCAATTCGAGAATGAATATTCAATATTCGCACACCCTTAGCTCTCACTGCTGAACTGGTCCTCACTACTAAATTTATTCTCACTGCTGAACTGGTTCTTACTGCTGAACTGGTTCTCAGTGCTAAATTACCGTAATCCATAGTTATAACGAAGTCGCTTTTTTTCAAACTATCGCTTTTATTGAACTTGGTCCCGACTGAATTGCGCTCATTTTTAACCGGATTAATCGAAGTGTATCGGCGGCCAACCATGCTTATTACGAAGGCCGCGGTGCCAAAAGCACACAAGACAACCTTGCGTTCTCTCCCCTTTCTCCACTCTCCACCGAGGAAAACTGCAAACAGGGGAAACAAAGTAAATGGGTGGCGGAGGGTCAAAGGGCGCAGAGCTGGCAGAGTGCCGCTTCTGATGCCGATGCACCAACGTGGGCAGAGAGCAGCAGAGTGGGAGCAGGGTCAACGTTACGACGCTATTTACGGCGTCCGCGGCACACGCTGCCCAGCTCCTGTCGCAATCGGATCAAGGGAGTGGTGAAGCTCGGAGGAGATCATCCCTTCGAGAGCCCCCGACTCGCGCGCTTGTGGCATAGTACACGCACGGGTGTGTCGTATGGGAGATTGGGAGTGTGTACCGAAAGTCGCTTACGTCTGCAAGGGCCGTCTAAGTCCGAAGTAGCCAAAGAATTAGACATTATGGCATCGGCTGTCCGACACTGTTCACCCCTTTGCAGAACAACCAAGGCATATTGAATGGGTCCGAGAAGTTTCTCATACAGGAGAAAGCACACCCACTACCCGAAGATAAAAGACGGCCGACTGCTTCGCGCATGTCGGATTTTCTCTCGTGAGCATGCTTGCCGAGCCGGCGCACAATTTCTATAGCTGCACCAAACTATACAGGAGTGTGTGAAAGCATGTTTTCGAAGCCATAGAGGGTAACTTTGATTCGTTTGCGCTTGTCGATGCGGACGTTCCCTTTGTTGCTCCTGCCACGGATGCCACGATCGTAGACCTTGCCGCAATCGTAGGCCAGGGTAAACACGAAGCGACGTCGGAGAGGTACCTTGGGAAGCACCGACAACTGTGGAGACGTGAAACATCCTACGATTGCTTTGAGACAAAGTGGAGTGCAGCAGCAGTGACAGTGTTCTTGCGATGCCTGGAGCAGTTCGAGGAGAACTGATGCCCTCATGAAATTATTGGCAAACTCCACTTAATTTAAAGGTTACGATAATAATACAATTTATGCAAAGGTGCAAGCAAGCTGGACAGGAAAGACAAAAACTGTGTTTAGAGATTTGTGTTTGTCCTTTGTCCCCCTCTCCAGGGATTATTTTGGTCGTCCACTTAATTATCCTTTTACTTGGTAAAGCTGCCGCGGGATGTTAATAACCAAGGTTTGTTTGATTAAATATCCGCAATGTTCCAGTCCACTTCCAAGGCTGCTGGCGCTGTTTGTTTGGCTCTATCACTTTTATTGAATTACCGCTTGTATCGAATTTTGTTGCCATCCTGTTGACTTCATTAATAACGAGAGGTTACTGTAGGCCTTACTGCTGGATTGGTACTCACTGCTGAATTGGTTCTTTCTGCTGAATTGGTTCTCACTGCTGAATTGGTTCCAGTCTCTGGTTTTAAACATCATCAGCTCACCTGCGCACTCACTGTCTTTACATTAATGATACATATCGCAGGCATGGCGAACTTGCGTGTGCTATAGTATGCGGGAATTCGCCATGAACTGCCCTGTCACATGTACGGCAGCAGAACGCAGACGCAAAGCATTCACGCTTCACAGTGTGATATACACATAAGAACCCGGCCGCCACAAACTCGGGTGTCATGGGAACCGATATTGCGCATGCAGATTGCAGACAAAAAAAAATATATTGAGGATGCTGCAGATTTTCGCATGTCACGGTGCGATCAGCGCAAGGCAACCCGCGGCGAACACACTTGTCACGTACCTATACCGCAGATCACGCGGTAGATGTGATTAAAAAAAACAGGACGGGTGATTTCTCAGGGGCAGGCGTTCATACGAGACTTTACGGTATACACGATTTAATGTGTGTATGTGGTATTTCAGATACACGTGACCATGCTCAATGCCACAGGAAAAAAAAAGAAGTAAGTAAACGACTAAACGATGCCTCAAGGCATCACTTCGTCGTTTTTCAGAGTACTGATCAGTACTCTTGACAAAGCCACCTATGCATATCCCATTTTCAGAGATCGGACCTACACGCCGTTGACACGGCCAAATCGGTATGGTGGTTTCATAACAATGGGGACTTTTAGCAAATTGGTAGTGTTCCGCATACCGCACTATGAACCTTTAAAGATCGTACCTTTGAAGCACGATCTTAAAAGCACGCACTCCGCAGTCACAGCATCAGTCAGGCGCGTGCTTAAAAGCATGCTTCAAAGTCTCTGGTAGTGCATGGTACGTGGTAACGGTATGCTAAAAGTCCCTATTGGTTCAGAATTATCTAAACGAACACCACACGGTAAACCACTGTGGGCCATAAGAAAAAAATACACCAATAAATATAGCTTAAAAAAAACTTTTTCGGGTAGTTTTGGCGCAGCATGTGCGTTTGGGAGCAGGATGGCGCAGCAAAAGTGGATTGCCGCACAATGGAGCAATTGGCAAAGCGCTTCCACCCTTGTAAATGGATTCTCACTGCTGAATTGGTTCTCACTGCCAAATGGGTTCTCACTGCTGAATGGGTTCTCACTGCCGAATGGGTTCTCACTGCCGAGTGGGTTCTCACTGCCGAGTGGGTTCTCACTGCCGAGTGGGTTCTCACTGCCGAATGGGTTCTCACTGCCGAATTGGTTCTCACTGCTGAATTGGTCCTCACTGCTGACTTGGGTACTCAACATACCTGGCAGTCGTCCTCGCAGTCGCAGCCGCAGAGGAACTCTTCGTCCAGGTTCAGCGTCACCCCTTTTCCCGGATACCGCGTCGCAGAGTACTCAATGTATGTGGGATATTCCGTGTTGAGACTGTTGATGCATGTCACAGGAACCTGCAGAAGACCAGAAAGAAAAAAGAAACTTATGTCACTACCTCAGCTCTCAGTATTATGGTATTACCATGAGAGGCAAGCTGAAGAGCCTTCCCAGAAAAGTTGCACCTCGATCAAACATGCGGTTCCACAACGTTAAAGCAACCGAAGAAGCTTAACAAGATATGCTGACTTATCAGTACAAAACTGTTTAAAGCAGCTTTAAAAAGATGCTGCAACAAAATTCGAGCGCATATTTTATTGTCCAAATGTCAACCACATTTTGGCCACACTGCAGAGACAACAGCCAATCTTTTCCTCAAAAAGACACCAAAATATTATTTAAAAGGAATAACCAAAGTGTCGTCACGTCACTATAAACTTAAAGCAGCGCCGCTCCGCGGAACTACGGCAGCAAGCTGCACCTGGGCAAGCCCTGTCGAACTGGATTTCCCCAGCCTACTAACTCCTCCGGGAAGCAGGGAGGGGCACCTAAAAATGGCCAGGTTATGTCTAGGATTTTGAGTTTTCGGTTGAAACCGATAAAAACCAATAGGAGTATGCAAATCTATTTTCTGAAATTCGGTTTTAACCGAAGGTCACTTTTTTAGGGCCGGGCCGAGGTGGGTGGGGGAGGGGGGAGAGAGGGAGAGGGCTTTGCAAGGTTCCACATTGTGCGACGTCTTCGTGACTGCCCTCTTCCAAGGCTCAACATGCAACAAAAGGGGTCTTGGGTTGGCCTTTGCGAGACATCTGTGTCCTTTCTGTAATCGAAATAAATGTGTCAAGTTCTCGGTCCAAAAAAAAAGAAAGAAAAGTTTGGATGTGGGCTAGTATAAGGTTTTTCGCTTCATGCACTTCAGGGGACATCGAGGAAAGCCGTTAATACCTTTCTTAACACCCTCTCTCAAACTTCCCAGTGGCTGAAAACATAAATACAATGGATCTTCTTTTTTTTTTTTTTTTTTTTTTTTTTGCCTATTTTTCTGGTTTTTTTATGGTCATCACCTCAGACGGTCTCGTCGTCAGAATGGGAAAGAAATAGAAGCGCGCTGAGAATTATGCCCGCGAATCCCGCGATTTTGAGGTGTGTCCTGACGGAAGTTGTAGCAATGACCACGTATGTATATGTACCATTATTCTTTAAGTGATCACAAATATCACATCTAAAAGGATCATTTGATACGGCGCCCGATGATATTTCTTTCATATCAAACCGAAAAAGAAAAAGAAACGGCAATCGTTTTTGGGAATAAATATACATTGAAAAAAATATGAAAATTGGATTTTAAAGTAAACACCGAAAAAAGCATGCCGAATTTCGAAAAATAAAAACCGAAAACGCGGAACCCTAGTTATAACTAGGGTTTTGAGTTTTCGGTTGAAACCGATAAAAGTACGCCGAATCCATTTTCGAAAATTCGGTTTTAACCGAAAAAGGTCAGTTTGTAGGTTCGGCGTTTTCGATTTAAACCGATAAAAGTATGTCTAATCCGTTTTCTAAAATTCGGTTTTAACCTAAAAAGGTTAGTTTTTCAGGGCCACATCGAGGTGGGTGGGGGGGGGGGGGGGGAAGAGAGAGAGGGCTTTGCAAGGTTCGACATTGTGCGACGTCTTCGTGATTGCCCTCTTCCAAGGTTCAAAATGCAACAAAAGAGGTCTTCGATTCAAGTTCCTGGTCCTAAAAAAAACGTTTGGGTGTCATGCACTTCAGAGGACATCGAAGAAAGCCGTTAATACCTTTCTTAACACCATCTCTCAAACTTTCCTGTGGTTAAAACCACAAATACAATGGATATTTTCTTTTTTTGCCATTTCGCTGGTTTTTTGCACGGTCATCACGAGACGGTTACGTCGTCAGAATGGGAAGGGAAAAGAAGCGCGCTGAAGATTATGCCTTGCGAATTCCGCGATTTTGAGGTGTGTCCTGACGGAAGTAGTAGCGAAGACCACGTATGAAGGTATATGTGCCGTTATTCTTTTAGTGATCACAAATATCATAACTACAAGGATCATCTGAACCGGTGTCCGACGGTGTTTCCTTTATACTTACCGAAAAAAAAACGGTAAACATTTTTGGAAATGAATATACACCGAAAAAAAACTAAAATTAAATTTGAAAATAAACGCAGAAAAAAGTACGCCGAATTTCGGAAAAATAAAAACCGAAAACGCGGAACCTTAGTTATAATGCGTCTGGACTAACGTGCTGGACCAATTGACGTCAATAAGTACAGCTCCCGCGACGCATTGCACTCTTTGACGACTGATCTTCAGGCTCTTGCTGGAATCGGTCCTTTGGAACGAAAAATACAGCTATCCGTCCAAAAAAAACAAGCGAGCGATTGTCATCAGCAGAATGAGTTGATTATATTTACTTACTCTATATGCAAGAGGTATATTTCAGGTTTTGATTCAGTACATCCCTTTAAAACAATTCTTTGCAATATGGACTGCAGAAGCTCAGGAACACACACAAAGCTTCTCTCAAACACTAAAAAAGGCACTTCGAACTTTTTCACTTGTCATTTGAAAGTTTTTTTGGACAGATATATACCCGGAGCCCTAAAAAAACTTCAATGTGAACATTTTGTGATTTTTTTTCGCTACACAACAAGAATAGAAACTTGACTCACAAGCTCCTTGCCGTACGTGAGATCCCTGAGGGAGCTGAGGACGGTCTGGGGCACAAAGTGAGCGAAGACGTTCACGGCGCTGTCGAAGCAGAACTGGTCCACCGTGAGCAGACACTTGGATAGAGCCAGGTACTGCGCCACCTCCGCAATGTTCCGGAGCCGGCGACCGCACGGCGCCGTGTAGAACACTCGACGCTTGCTCTTCTTGCTCGGTTTGGCTACTTGCCTGCACGGCAAAATTCGCCTTTACATTACACCCCATTCAGTATTGGGTAAAGTACTTCAAATAAACTACAAAGTAAACGAGAGGTTATGCACCTCAAGTAGTAAGTACACTGGGTGCAATGTACATAAAGTAAAGTACTATAAATACAACATACTTTCAAATTAAAGTAGAAGTACTTTTTAACACAGTCTTTAATGATGCCCTTTTCATTCCCCTATCTAAAGGCTTTCTTTCGTTTGTTTGTTTTAAATTGGCATGCATTGCCCTAGAGGTAATCGGGGGTGCGTCAGTTGTTTCTGGAAATGGCGGCAAAGACTGGATGAAGTCAAACGGCCATAAAGTAGTTGTTTTACTCTCGCTGATGAACCATATAGCACAATCAACTTATAAGGTACTTATTTCTATCGGCCTTTACTTCACTCAGAGAACTGACCAAATGACATCTCGAAAGACTATAGCACGCATTCACATAACAATACGCCATTTCTTTTAGAGTTCTGCGAGCTCTTATACTCGACCTAAGAAGTTGTGTATCGTACTGGGAAAGCCAAGGACGCAAGAGTGAGGTCCTTGAAAGAGCTGAATTTCACCAGGTCGAAATTTGGGGAATGTACTTTGAAGTCGGGAGTTGTACTTTCCTCAAAAAGTACCAGAAAAAAAATACCTAAAGTAAAATACAAGTACATACCTACTCAGAGAGTCTACTTCAAATGAAATACAAGTTTTCTAAACCCACTTGAGGTAGTACTGCAAGTACAATGTACTTGAAGTATGTCCCAACACCTGACCCCATCACATCACACCCCGTACAGCTATCAGCCTGTAGCATACAGAGTGCTTCTACCACCCCGTTCTTAAAATCAAGAAATCCTCTGCTGGATTTGCAAGGTCGGATTTGGGTGATGTGGGCATTGAAGACTCGCCGCCATTAGAAGTGACTGAGACAATTATGAAAGAACTGGATTGTAGGTAATTCCTAGCAGTCTCTCAAGTTTCTTTTCACATTCTAAAGGGCTCGCCAACGTTCTTCCGAGACAAAGCACACAAAAATTGCCATCAAGCGCAGAGAGCACGTTCGTCTGCTACTTGCGCAGGAGTCGCGGTGAAATCAGAATGATACCGAGCTCTTATTGGCTTTGATTGAAAGGATAGTGGGTAGACCTCAATGCTAAATGCCTTGATGTCTAACAACTATCTTTTTTTTTTTTTTTCAATCAGCCAATAAGAGCTTGGCGTTTCGATATCACCGCAACCCCCGTGCAAGAAGCAAACAAATTTACGCTCTGCATATCGGGAAACCCGGAGAGAAAGGATGAGACGCTCCAATCAAGCCAGGCCACAAGACCGGAATGTGTTACACGACACGCAAGAGAGCCACAGACGGCGACGGGCACCCACCTCTCCCAGCCCATGAGGCAGGGTATGCTGAGCGGGTTGCGCCCCACCAGCTTCTCCGGGTCCTCGGGCTCCACGCATGCGGGCGAACACTCGTGCTTCACGTAAGTCTTCCGATTGTACGTCTCGGAACCCTCGACGCACTGCAGTTCCCGCGTGCCGGCCTGCGACGCCGCAATCCCTGGCTTCTCCGCCTCCTCCCAGGGCGCCGACCTGTGGTCCTGCGTCGTAGACTTGCGCGCCACGTTGCGCTTGTCGCTTGTCGCCGCTGCCGTTGTCGTTGTAGCCACCTTCTTCGTCGCGTCCTCCTTCGCGGCCGTCGCGGACGAGTTTTCATCCGCTTCCCGCGTGTACTCGACAAATGGCCGGTGCTGTTTCCCGGCCGCCGGAACCAGGTTCTGTCGGCGCACCCTCCCACCTGGCGCAGCGCTCTGGGCGGTGTGGTTGAGTGCGGTGTAAAGCGGCGCAAACCGCGTCGACCCACGGTAGATCCACTCCGTCCGGTTGTCCGCCTCAAACGCCATCTTGACCAGGCTCGAGTCGACGGTGAGCACTCGGGCCATCCACCACTTGCCGTTCCACTCCGTCTTGACTGTCTGGCCCTTGCGCATCCGCAGCATCGGGCGCTCGGGGTACTTCTGCAGATAGGTCTTCACAAAGTCCCGCACGTCGCGGTACATGTCGTCCCACACGCCCGTCTTGGAGGTGCCGCACATCACGAACACCTTGTCAATGTGTACGTATTGCGCGTAGCCATCGTCGAAGAACACCAGGTAGCGGTACCGGTTGAGCGGTTTGGGCGGTTCCGCAACGAGTCCCGCGTAGAGCGACTGCCGCTGGTTCCAGGACTCGTCGGTGTACGTCGCGACGACACGGGTGCCAACGGGAAGCACCACCGAAGGCCGGTCGGCGTAAGCAAGCTCGCGCGGCGAGAACCATTTCGACTGGCGCATCCCCGCATTGGGCTTGCGGGCTTCGAACTTGATGCGGTACATTGGTTCATCGTTGCCAGTCTCCTCCGCGGGCTGAATTTGGGTGATGCGGGCCTTGAAGAACACTCCCAGCGGAAAGTTTCGCGTGGCGAGGATTTTCGACGAGATGTCGAGTTCTCTGCAAATTTACGCGTACGGATAAGGGACACTCGTTTTCAAAAGTGTAAAGTGACCCATTCTAAGTTATTGCTCACAAATTCTGCAACTTTAGAACTACTACATTTTTTTGGTGTGTAGTCCACGAACTGTACATGTTTAAAAGTGCAAATTTTTCCTGGTGCGGACTATACAAGGTTTTGTATTTTTCTAGATCTTTCTACACAGCACATTTGTCAAGATGTGCTGCATATAATAATTTTACATTCGGATAAAGCACTAAAAATAAACTACCTAAAAAAACTTTTTTTTTTCAGCTGAATATGGCTTTCGCGGACTATATATGGGGTGTGGGCTATAGTCCAGAAAATATGGCATTTTCTGTGTCACACTGAAATTCCAGCAACTGCAACTGAAACCGTGTTACATTTTCAGAGTAACCTGTAAGCAAGTTTAGTTGGCTGCTTATCAAACTTATGTGGGCGACCGAAAAAATTCACGGCTATTTAGTCCTGACATCAACGCTACATGTTGACACTCCTCTCAAACACTGCAGTCAGCAGGGTGCTGACTCCTAACCAAAGTACTGCCAATGTTTTCCGGATTAGAAAATGAACCACTGGTCTATATCACGGTATGTCTCAATGTCCTGGGATATTTTAGGATTCATATCAATTAAATGCCCGTTCTATGCATGGGTACGGAAACTCACTTGCGCACTATGGGGCCCTCCGGGGGAAGGTTGGGGACTTTTGGGGTGAAGTTCCCCACCGGAATGATGTCGTCGGAACTTTTCTGGACAGGTCGAGGACTGCCCTTCGGGACGGCCTGGGCAGAATTTGTCCTTAGCTAAGGTGACAATGCACAAGAAAAATGAAGCTTGGACTTGTTCCATGGAGTTGGGAAAAAATAATTTGCTGTGTAAAACTAAAAAAATAATATATATGAAATTGGAACTTATCAAAAAAAGGGACTGCAATCTCTATTGCACTCTCTTATTTCGTTGTTATCAACATATGGCCTCCTCCTTTAACCATAGTAGCTTTCAATTATTACATTTAATAATATAGGCAAAGGCAGCTCCCTCATAATATAAGATGCACAGCAAAAACGACCAAGATGCAGAGTGTCAGGACACAAAACTACCATTACAAAACAGGGTGCCGTTTCCACACTTTCAAATGAACCGCACTTACCACTGGAGACTGAGGAGCTCTCTTTGGTGAGACTGGCATCTTGAAGTTGGAATCTGCACAGAATGTTACAGGCAGAGTGACCAGGTGTATTACTGCTAACAAGCAAATAAGAAACCTAAAACAAGCCCCAAAAAGATATACCTTCAAAAAGAAGTAGAAAATAGATAGAAGAAAGAAATCTGCCTGACACAAAAAAAGAAAACACTACAGCAGGTTGCCTTTGACTGTTATGTGAGTCTGTTTTCTTTCCAGAATAACACCAAAACGCCCACTTTCCTTATGACACCCCTATTATGTATGTACAGGCAAGCTGCACACTAGTATTACTCAGTCTGCTCAACTATGCTAAGGTTATTAAGTTGTTAGCCTAAACTTACAGCTGTAAAGGGCACAAGTTTGTGCATTCAGGAAAGGGCAAGAAGAGCTTATGTAAGGGGAAGAAGAGCTTATGTGTGAAACTGAAGGCACTTGAATAGAGTATCTCATGTCAGAGACCATCAGTATGTTGTCTGACAAGCAGTCATGAGAGTAGCTGCAAGACATGACCAGGACAGGGGCCTACCATTGATGAAGACATCGAAGAAGTGGACCTCTGGAATAACCAGCGCATCTGCCTGTTCCTTGCTGCAAAAGGCAACATATGAAGAAAGGCAATTTGCAACGACAAAAGTTTGCAGTATCCACCTGCACTTATCAAAAGTCACATTACTAAGCTTCCTTCAGCAAATGGTACATTGCAGCAATGTGATTGGACCAAGTAACATTTGGAGCATGTTCTAAAGCAGCCATAAGTTCATTTTGGAGCTGCAAAAAGGACTCTTCGAGCAGCAGCACATGCTTTATTTTAATCTGTTCCACTGTGACAACTGAATTGACCATGCTCAATGAGGAACATTGCAGAACATCTGAGTACATTAGGTGTAGGATAGGAAGATAATATTTAATACTACACAATATCCTGAGAGACGCCCCCGCCCCTGAAGGATAACCCACCACTATTTTTAGCATATGTTGTTCTTTTGTTGTTGTTTTTTTTTCAGAAACACCGAAAAATAGTTCACTTTTAGTAGTTGCAGGGCCCTGGCTAAGGATGACCTTGGCAGAAATGTTGTTACTTAAGTCACGGCGGGAGATAAGTGAACACTCCTGACTGGGAAGGGGAGTCTCAGCGATCACAAGTTTTACCAGTCATAAAATCTAACACTAGCATTTTTTCAATTATTCTTCATTGCACACTAAAATTTAGACACCTTTATTTTTTTTTTTTCACCCGATTTGCTTTGATTTTAGATGGGCTATCTCTCAAGATACTACAGTATGTTATTCAAAGCGGTAGGTAATTGAAAGGTTTGAAACTTTGCATAAGCATACTGCAAGGATCTGGGCAGTGAAACGGTGCCTGAGCTATTTAGTTCCAGTACAATGTTGGCTCAAATTCCTCGCATTTTAGCAAAACGTAACAGGATGTAGCAGGACAAGCACTTTAGTGCAGTTTGGCACCAACTATGCAACAGTCACATCACTGAACACTGATAGATTTACAAGCTGTCTATATGTAGGCATGTCATAAGGGGAATGTGACTAACAACTGGTCAGTCAATGAATAACGAAAGTGTGAAGCAATGTGCCAAAAAATAAAGACCACAGTGGCACTTTTCAAGAAACTGCCTGGCAATGCGATGAATAATGGGTATGTGCACAATAATCTTGTGCACACTAAATGATATTGTTCTTACCTCTTCTTCTCCTTGAGCTTGGTAAGATCTCGTTCCATCTTGTCAAAGGCGATGTCGATTTCTATGAATTCTCCTGCACAAGAATAAGGTGTACGAGAAAAAATATCAGGACTGCAGGTGCAAAGATACAAGCAGCCCAAAGATTGCACTCGCTAGCAGGTGTCTGTTTCAGTAACCCGGAACACTAAACTGAAACATTTTATGGCTTTCCTGGAGCTTGGAACTCTTAAAGAGATGCTGCACCCTCCAAAAAACATTTTTCCAAACGACCTGGAAAGGCCATATATGTTACAAAATACATTTCTTTAAAAAAGGAATTAATGAGCAAATTTCTTTTATTAATAGCACTACTAGCTAGTCAAGGTTTCAAACCTACTGCATGGTCCATTTGGCTAATTGCACCTCTTGTTAGCCAAAGTTCAAAACATGTTACATAGTCCCTTTAACTAAAAGCGGCAGCAGTTCACTAGTTAAAGACTTGTTTCATATTTCCTTTCATTAACTGCACTTCTAAATTGCCAAAGTTTGAAACCTGTTATATGGTCCCTTTAGCTAGGAGCACTGCTAGATTGCCAAATTTTAAAACTTGTTTCATTGTCCCTTTGATGAACTACACTCCTTGTTAGTCAAATTTAAAACTTGTTTTCGGGTTCCTTCAACTAATAGCACTAGTTAAGTTAGCCAAAGAAAACACTTGCCTCACATGGCCCCTATAGCTAATAGCACTATTAAATTAGCAAAGTTAAAAATGTGTTTCATGGTCCCTTTAAAGGGCAACTCCGGTCGACAATTAAACTAAATTAGTGGTATCGCTTTAGTAACACGAAATATGATCAGAGCCGAAATTTTACGTCGAAGTGAAGCCGCATATTCTACTAAAACCGATTTTAAAGATGCAACCAGCTGTTCTTTAGTGGGCATCAAGCGGGTTAGCTTTAAGTCAAGAAACACTGCCTGCAGCACAGCCTGAGGTCACGTCGCGATGGAGCTGCAGGCAGTGTTTCCAAACAATAGCCAAAGTTAAAAGCTTGTTTCGTGGCCCCCTTGACTACTGAACAGTTCACGTCGCCACGGCAGCCACCACTCACGTTCCAGGTCGTCGAGAAGTCCCAGCCTCCGGGAGAACTTGTCCATCTCCTCCTTCCAGGCCTGCTCAAGGTTGAAGCCGCCAATTACCTTGTTCACCGTTGCCATAATGTCACAGTCACACACCACAAACTGCTCCTTCTCGTCCAGGTGTGCACGCTTCACGCCGGAGGGTCCTTCCCCGTTGGCCCCTTCGGAGTCCCCCTTACAGTCCCCATCCCTTCTCAGAGCAGAAAGCGTCATCCCGTTGCCGTCGCCCAACGCCTCAGCTGCCCTCTTCTTTCTGCAACCAAGGCATTGCAAAGAGGGGGAATGTTTCCGGAGATTTGGAAAGAGACATGTTAAATGAAGAGTAAAATCACAGGCAAATTGGCATGCGAATCCCATTATCAACACGAGATTGGGCACTAGGGACCAAGACAAGGGACTAGGAATTGAAACTGGGGGGTAAACAAAAATGAAAGCCGTTTACAAATCCCTGTAACGCCGAATTGGAGCGCAGCTCTTGAGGAGGAGTAGGGAAGGGTACTGAGGGGGGTCACGTCACCTGCGGGTAGTCACGTGATCTCGAGGGAGGGGGTCACGTGACCTCGGGGGAAGAGGGGGGGGGGGTCACGTGACCCCCCCCCGGTTACGCCGACGCCGACGCCACTCAGGCTGGAAACGGGCCCCTAAGAGCTGCGCTCTAATATGGGCGAAGGGGAACACCCCCGTGCCCCTTCCCAAATATCACCACCGATGCCTCCCCTCCACCATCTCCCGAATATTTAGATGCCTCTGACTAGGAAGATAGGGGGCTAACAAAATGGACAAGAGGACACTTCTCAAACTTGGAAACAACTTCATTTGACAAAAACACTCTAATACATTGGTTGTGCCCTCTACCTTGGTACCAAGCACCACCTCACAAGCAGCCAAGCAAGATTTTGCGAAGTAGCAGCCGAGTTTGAGGTGACGTGTGCAGTTGTCAGCTCTTTAATTTTGTCCCTAGACTTGGGTTTGCTATGGGACATGTTCAATGAACACATTAAACATAGAGGAGGAGGTCAGATCACAAGAGCCAAAATGTCTGTACCACACCAACAGGGAGAAGTGTGGCTTAACCCTTTTTGCACTTTCAAGGGCTGCAAGCATATGGACTAGTAACTCTGGGATGTTATTTGATCGAAGTTGGTTGCATAGCTAGAATGAGACAAGATGCGCTCAAGAACATGTTCCTATCTGGTTGCGTAATGAACAAGCCTGAAATGTCAACAAGGCTAATTAATCTTTTTGTAGTTTTCCAAAACTACTAGCACGAAACTATGACCCCAAGGCTTTGTTGTGCAAGTGTTGTTGCATGATGGGAGCTGCCGGTGTGTGCGCTCAGAGCCCCGACCCATAACAAGCCCATCACATCTGCATTCCGTTCGGCAATGTATACAAACAGCACTGAACAGAGTGCAGGAAAGATTAAATGTCATGCTGACATAGGGGATGATTGCAGACTGCAATGTAAAGAATTCAACAACAATGTTGCGCACCCCATGAAGGATTCCGAGAATCATGCAGATCTCCCCCAAATACCGTCTTACATGCTGCTAGTGGGCTGGCTTCCTTGTAAGGGAATAAGACGGTTTTAGCAGCCTCAATCCAAAATCACTGCCAAGGCCGGTGCACATGAGGCAGGGTCTTCAATTCATGTCCTTCTCTGCTCATGCACTAGTTTTTGCAGTGCTCACTTTCAGCACAGCCCTAAATAAGACGCCTTTGAGTAGCACTGCGCTAGCACAGACATCGACAAATCCAATGCTTACGAAAATGTATTGCAGGATGAGCAGACACTGCCAAGCATATGTGAAGGATTTTAAAATTTACAAGCTAGCAAATGCACATATGAAGTGCATTAACGCCTGAATGGCAGATGCCAAGGGACTTTTTTTTTCTTTTGGAAATGGCCTTCGTTGGACTTCGGTGCAGTTCACATTAAGTTATAAATTTCACAGGTGATAGTGTCTCAAATAGCGGCCAGTCTCTTTAAATCGACGGCAAAATTGGTTTCTTAACCTTTCGCACTACGATTTTGTGCAGGGTTGCCCCACAGGTGGTGCATTTGTTCTATAAAATTTGTTTGAAGATCGCTGGCATCGCTGCATTTTCATAGGAGCTAAGCTCTTCTCTTTTTTAACTTTTCCCTAAAATAAGTTTGCTCTCTGCAAATTTTTTTTAGAAAAAATGCACCACCTGTGGGCAAAACTGCACAGTTATTTGAGCCACCCTGTAAATAAAGCTCCCAAGAAAAGAGAACTGCATTTTTCAGCCCATGTAACTGAACTATGCATTGCATAAAGTGCAAACACCGTGGGAATGTGGCGCTAGCGGTTGGGACAGAACACGAAATTTGAGAACATGACAATACCTGGAGCAAAAGATAATTAAGAAAGACGAAATTGCTCTATCAACTAACGTCCACCTAAGCCTAATCTCGTCAAAAGAAGAATTGTCATTGCAGATGTCTGTGGGATTCATATCAGTGAAAGGCACATACGTCAGCAAGAAAGAGAATATTGTTTTCTTGCATACCAATAAGTTTTTTTTTTTTTTTCCTGAAATAGATGCTACAAGCACCCAAAATGTAATTTCTTGTTTCGGCCCATAGAGAAACTTTGTTTTGCTCAATTATCTTTTGATCCATGTAACGTCATGTTCTCAAACTTTCGCACTCTATCCAAACTGCTAGCATCATATTCTCACATAGTTTGAGCTTTCTGAGATGCACAATTCAATTTACCGGGCCGAAAAACATGGTTCTCTTTTCTCGGGAACGTCCGGTATATGTCCACCAAGGCCTCTAAGCTCGTCAAACACAAAGTTTGGGCCGAAGTTGATGGAGCGCACCGATTGGCCTATTACGATGATGACTTTGCACTTTTTTCGACAATGTCCAATTTGCGCGCCCCACGATCTTTCAGCTCCAACTTTGTGTTTGACAAGTTTAGGGCCCCAAATCTCATTCGCAAAGGACTACAGGTGACAGAGGTAGAAGGTCTTACAATATGTGCACCACATTAAAAATTTAAGATCTTGGCTTTTAGATCAAACTCTAAAGTCCGAAAGATTGCAACGCAATTAGTGTCTGCCATAAATTTTTGCGATATCTGTCTCAAAGATAACCCACTTATATGCCTCCTGTCAAAGAATGTTGCAATTGAAAACAAGGAAGCAACAGGAAGAAATTAATTCTATTGGTTGCAATCATGGGGGGGGGGGGGGGGGGGGAGGGGCAAGGAGGGTGCTTGCCCCCCCCCCCCCCAGTTCTCAGAGGGGGGGGGGGGGGGGGGGGGGGCAAGCACCCTCAGAAACAGATGCCACTGGGCAGGGAAAACACCGGCCGCCGCAGCCCAAGGGATATCAAGGGCAGAACCCCACGGCCCAGGGGGGGGGGGGGGGGGGGGTCTAATTTACCCCCCCCCCTCAAAAACAAGTTGGAATGCCACTGGTTGCAATGCAAACTTGTAGCTGCCAATATATTCCCAATACTTGCATAAAATACAAATGAACTATTAGACCTCATACCAACTGACATGATGCCTTAACAAGACAAACAAACTAGGCAGTTTGTTTGCACATTCAAAAAGTCACCGAGGCAGCACCAACTGCATGTACCTGATTGAAAAGGAAATTATGACTGGAGACCAGGCAGAACTCCCCACGCCTGCAAATGGATCCCCGTGCGCGAGCCCAAAAACATGGCAAGACGAACGCGGAATACCATACAGCGCCATTTTAAATACAGTTGTTCCTCCCCTTCTGTCATTTTCTCTAAACACAAAAAGTGGCAGAAACATGACGCGCTAGCGTCTCAATTTGTGGTTCAAAAAGGCGCGTTCTGGAAAAGCCGAAGGCGAGGAAAGGCATCCGAAAAAAGCAGCAAGGCCGGAAGCGTTTCTGCTGGCGTTGCCATGGAGACGGCGCAAGCGCGACGGCCGCTGCCCTTGTTTCCAGGCGCCAGCAAGTTTCCCGCCTTGTCGACAATGCCGTCGAGCGATATACCGCCGCAATCTCGACCGCGCAAGTTGCAAGCACTGGCGCGGTGAGCGGGACCACGTCGTTGCCTCACGTACCCTCTCCCCGCCGGTACCTCATAACTTGAGCGAGCACAAACAAGTACCCGTCCCTACGTTGACCCGTGCGCACGAGCGCTGTCGCCATCAAAGGGAGGCATCGGAACGAAACGGGTACCTTACGATGGACCGCAACGGAACTCATGACAACCCAGTGCTGCGAACACATCCATCAGGTGACAACGCGCGTCGCCGGGTTCTTCCGCGTCAACGTGATGCGAATGGGTAGCGTGCTGAAACGCCACATCACGCGGCAGTGAACTCAGCTTAGTGTCCACGTCCCCTGACACGTTTAAAACTCCTGAGATCGTCCTTTTGTGGTGACCTAGATGCTCTAAGCATCCCAACAAACCCAAAACCACAACCGTGCATAGCTCTTATTTCCCGATGTGGTCGACGAAGGGCGCTTGTCGGCGAGTGGCAAACAATAGCTTCGCCCGCGGGAAAAACAAAAATGCAGTGGCTTAGCTCGGCTATGCGAGGATATATGTAGCGTGAGCTTAGATTCAGCTGGTTATTTTTATCTTTCCTGGTTGTCAAGGATTAGCTTGATTATCATGCTTACTGCTGCTTCCATGACACACGGTATACGCATTATGTGACACATCGACGGCCAATTGTTGCTGCTGCTGCTGAGATGGTCAGGCGGCGTTTGTCGGGCACGTCGATCAGCCTCCTGGCGACGCCGCTTTGCTAGACGTTCCTTCTTTGCTCCGGTGTCTCCCCAGCACGTTTAGCCTTCTGCTCGTTCTTCCTACGCTCAACCGCTAATTGCCAGGCAACTACTCCGGGATCCGATGAGTTAAGCTTCTCCGCTCTTCTGCGCTGCTGAGCAGCAATTTCGCTCTCCTTCTCCATGGCTACACCACACTGGCATACCCCCACCGATACCTCTGCGCATGCGCACAAAATGAGAGGCGCTATCAAGCGGCTCCGGTGCAGCGTCAGACTTGGCTACTGCACAACGGAGGCGCACAGCTGGGCACGCGGCGGCGACAGTGCGTTTGCCGCGGCTATGACGTCACTCCTCTGGAATGCGCAGACCGGCGAGGAGCGCGCGGCGGCGGCGGCCCCGGCGCGCCAGCTGTGCGCCGTGTGACGTCACAGCTCCCCGGGCATGCGCAGCACGGCTCTCCAGGAGCCACGTCAAACTGCTCAACCTGGGCCAGTGTAGCTCACG